TGTACTTTTCATCACACCACCATCATCAATGCCTTTCACCCCTGGCAGGGTATAGGCCACATACAAGCTCCTTCCATTTATCTCTGTCCTGGGCCAGCCTTCCAAGCTCGTTCCAAGTGAGCTTCATCTCTCTCATGTCTCTTTCCACGCATCTCCTCCATGTTTCTCAGGGCCTGCCCCTGCCTGGTGCTCCTTGTGGGTTCAACTACAGTGACTGTCTTGTGATGTTTCCGCTGGGCTTTCTTAAGGTGTGTCCCATCCATCCCTACTTTCTTAGTCCTTTTTCTACTTCTATATCCTTTTGTCCTGCCCTTTCCCACAGCTCTTCATTTCTTATGCTATCCTGCCACTTAATTCTTAGAATACTCCTCAGTCGTCTGTTGATGAAAGTCTGCACTTTATTCAGTACTGCTTTTGTTGTCTTCCAAGTTTCGCAACCGTTGAGGACCACAGACTTGATGTTGGAGTTAAAGAGTCAAATCTTGGTGCGCAGTGAGATGTTGCTTACTTTCCAGACTTTTTATAATTGATTGAATGCTGACCTTGCCGGTTCTTGCTTTAACATCTGCCTCGGTTCCACCTTTACCATCGATGACACTTCTAAGGCAGGTAAAGGAGTCCACTTCTTCCGGGGGGGGGGGGGTGTCTTCCACTGTCAAAGCAGGGCTTGAAATTTTACCTAGCTTCACTACTTTTGACTCGCCTGAATGTATACGTAGACCAACACTCCTTGATAGGCTGTTGAGTTCCTTTGTCTTTTCTTGCTTCTGAGCATGTGTGTGAGAGAGCAGTGCAAGGTCATCGATGAAGTTAAAGTCGTCCAGCTGTTGCCAAGGGATCCACTGTATTCCATTACGCTTGACTCTAGTGGCTTCTTTCATGACCCAGTCAATTGAAGAGAAAATGGGAGAGCAAGCATCCTTGTCGTACTCCTGTCTGTATCTGGAATGGTTCTGAGAGTTGTCCTTCGTGGAAGACTTAGCAGTTTGTTCCATTGTAGGTGGCCTTCACGAGCTTGACGATTTTGTCAGGTATTCCAGAATGCCGCATGAGTTTCCACAGAGTTTCCCTGTCCATGATGTCAAACGCCTTTTCATAATCAATGAAGTTGGTGAATTCCATTCAAGCGATTGCTCAACAATGATGCGCAGAGTAGCGATCTGGTCCACACATGATCGGTTTTTGCGGAATCCTGCCTCATTTCCTCTGAGCTTCTTGTCTGTTGCCGGCTTGATTCTATAGCTGCGCAATTTCCTCTCTAGAAGGTGGTTCCGTAACTATTGGGCGGTCATTTCTGGCTGGAAGAATTTCTGGTTGGTTTTCTGGAGGTGGTCTGTTCAAGGCTTTTCATGACAGCAGTGGTTTATTTTCCAAGTCTACACTGCCACAGCTACTTGCCTTGATGTTCTCCAAAATCTCTCTTATGTTTCTATATCACGATGTACTCAAATTACGAATATATGTAAATACATTTGTCAATCCTCAACGTGTTTGAGAATCCCATACCCAACTGTAATTATAATAATATATAACCATTTTTAATTAAATACCCACTATATACAGATACCGTCATGGTTATATTATAAAATATCATTATAACATAAAATAAGGTAAATATTTTTTTGCCCCTACCCTCACGTACAAACAGCTCCAGGCACTTTACATAACTCCAAGTACATGAACAAAGTCATAAATGAATAATATTGTACTTACTTAAAGCGAAAATTTAATCTTTGTACATGTGCAAAACGTAGTACTGAAAACAAAGCTACTGAATTAAAAATGATTTCATAATATGTCTATTACACTTTTTGTACCGTTGGCAACTTTAGTTTTAGAATTAGACTCAGAGGCAGGCTATGTCTCTAAGGGGTTGAGGAAGGGAGTGCCAAACTGATGGAGCAAGGTGAGCAAAGGGTTTTTCAGCTAATTCTTTACCCCTTTTCCTGAGAATTCTTAAAAGATATTGTTCACCTGATCTCAGTTATTGAGAAAGAACACAAATCTGGTTGACATTACAAAGATATTAACCTTTATTTTATTAACACACTTAAGGCATAATATTAATATTGCAATTTTATACGATATTTCTGTTGACACGGGAAGCCAATACAATGTTCTTAACATAGCTTAGAAGAATGATTCTGAAAAAGCCGAGATATGTGGAAAATGGTAGTAGGTAGGATAGCTAGTACTAGTAGACAATTGCAATATTCAATACATGAAAGTAGAAAAGATAACACAAGAGTTTTCAAGGGCATATGTATGGTAAAATAAGTGTCGATTTAGGACAGGTATGGTAAAACAGTTGAATTTTATCACAGCCATCTAAATAAGTTTAATTTAGCAGAGATTACAACTCATGAAAAGTTACACTTTTAGTGAAAAAATTAGGATAAGCCACCACTCATGTAAGTAGTTGTTTGGGGGTATTTATGTGTGTTTAACAGCGCTCGCAACCGCATAAGGTCATAAGAGCGTGCAGAACACATTAAGCATTTTCAATTTGGTAGGAATTAATTTTGAATTTTGCCCTGGTCATGGCCGAGCCTACTCTTATCGATTTTGGATCAATAAGAAAGACACCAGTAAGAAGGAAGCAAAGGAGTGGGGAAGGACAGGGTAGTTGGCGGAAAGTGGAGACGAGAGCAGAAGACAGATTCATGGTTAGAGAGCAGGAAAGGAGGTGAAAGGATACAATTTTAGAAAAGAACATTTTCCGTCGCTGTCAGGTTTTGAACCTGGGACTTATTGAATGAGAGGCAAACTCCATACCTCAAGACCATAAGAGTCCCCTCAAGTAAGTTTAACAACATAGAAATATATTTATAAATTAAAATAGAACACTTTTCCGATATCAAAAGACTGCAGTACCGTAGTTCCAAACAGTGGATAAAATAAATAAACAGTTTTGCGACAAAATGGGACAATTTAAACGCCATTTTTGAAGTTTGGCCGAAAATAGTGCTGCCGTCACTAGCAAGGTGATACATTCCAGAGCCAATGGGGTTTTTTCTCCAAAAATCGCCATTTTTCTTCTTAAAAAGAACTGCAGAAAGTTAGGCTTTTTTTCTTTTTTTTTTACAAAACACTACAAAAATGGTAGACCTTTCTTGACAAACTGCGATATATCCTTTGCACATCAATGAAGTTCTTTCCTCGGGTCACGTGAATTCGCTTGTGGTCGATGTGGCATTTTGTCCAAAATATGTGAAGATTTCTTTAATTTATAGGATAAGAATCCAACTTTGATTTCATCAATTAGCAAATGTCAACTTATCCTTACATCATGTTTAATCTAAATCCAAATTTGCTCAAGATTATTCAGTAAGTGGGAGAAGAACATAAACCTTCATTTTTTTTCTCAAAACCAGAAAACGAATGGTCACATTTTGACATGAAACCGTTCTAATGAATATTACATTTCTCTCTCAACAAATCTCACTTCATAAGCTTCTGGAGTAACTGCAAGGCCAAAGACGCCTTTGAGAGGTGGGAGTTGACCCTTCACAGCAGGTTGTATGTCAAACCGTTGGCAGATCCCGGCCAGGAAGAGGAAGAGCTCCATCTTGGCCATGGACTTGCCCAGACAGACCCGACGACCTGAGGAAACAAAGACAAATGGTAGAAGTATGGAGAAGCAATTGCTTTGTTTCCATTATAATCATAAAGACAAAGTATGGTAAAACAATTGCTTTGATTACATAAATCATATTATTAGAGAGTCTATGGTGAAACAGCTGGGTTCATCATACTCAATCGAATTTGAATAAATTATAGTAAAAATTACAAGACATTAAAAGTCACAATTTCAGTTAAAGAATCTATTCTAATGAACGTGTATGAGTATCAACTCACATCTTACCCTGCATGCCTTTCCCAACATACATACAAACAGACATACAGGTGACAGAGTGAGCAAACCAGAGGCAGAGTATAATATGATAAGGGTTAAATGCCTCCTGAAAAGCTGTGAGGCTATTGAAGAGGCAGGACCTTCCATTCACAGCTCATCTCCAATAGATAGAGTGAGCCAGTTGGGTGGAGAGCCATGACAACTCCCCAAACAACCCAAGTTCAAGAACATCAAGGACTCAAACCAGGGTGATCGAAATCACAGCCCAACAAGTTACCAACTGAGCAAACAGAGCACCCTGATAGAGAAGGACAGAGGTATTGAAAAGAAAACAGAAAAGACAGATGTATTTATCTGACCAGGGAGACAGGTGTTACAACAACATGCATGACAATCAAAACACAACAAAATAACAAGAACAACCAGATGTAAGCCACTGCTGAGCTCTCACCATTTGGCACTCTTTATGAGATAGAGTTAATACCTTTTGCCGAAAGATGCACTCAGATGACCACCCATCAAAAAGTAGTCACCTCAGCCTTGCCTGACGTTCACAAATCCCTCAACCACCAGGCACCTATAGCACTTGAGTGCCTCTGCAGCCTTTTAAAACATTAAACAAAAAATAACTTAATCTTACCCAATGAAAATGGCACAAATTCGTTAAAGACTTTCAAGTTTCCGCTATCATCCAAAAATCTCTCAGGACGGAAGTTGTGAGGGTCACCCCAAGATTTATCAAAGCGCAGCACAAAGTCCAGAATGGGCATGATCACAGTGCCTTGTGGGATTGTGTATCCACCAACAGTTGTCGTTTTGATACACGAATGCTGAAGGCTGAAAAAAAATAATACTATTGAAAAGGGTTAGGCTACACTTATTTCAATTAACTTCAATGTTTAATATTGTTTAGCTATGTTAAAGACTTATATCCACAAACAATATCAGTTTGAGCTGAAGACAAAGGCATCAACAAAGAAAAGACTTTAAAAGACTAACAAATTGATATAGAAGCTTAAGAAGGAAGAAATATAGAAAATGGTGCTTTAACAGTATGAGGTCTCATAAACAAAAGCGTTAGATTAGTTCTGGAGACACGAGTTCATGGTAGTACAAAGAAACAATGTTCTAACCCAATCACAATATCGTTAAAAAGGTAAATCAGAGGCTGTACTTTCTGAGGAAACTTAGGTCTTTCAATCTGAATCCATTCATCCTTCAGATATTCTGCACCACCACAATAGAAACTTCAATAAATTTTGGTATCACTTGCTATGGTAGCAATTTGGGAAGGCAGCACATTATAAAAATAAACAAGTTGATAAGAAAGTCATCAAGAACAATTGGTAGAGACCTAGATCTAGATCTAAGTAACTTTGAATATCTGCACAAGACAAACGTTCTAAAAAAAAAGGCGGAAATAATGCTTTGTGACCATAGCCACCCACTGACATCGGAATTTCAACTATTGACCCGCAGTAAACGATACATTTCCAAAAAAGCAAGAACAGACAGATGTAGAAATTCATTCGTACCAACTGCTGTGAGGTTACTAAACACACAGTGCTACAAATGAAACAGTGAGAGAGAGAGAGAGAGAGAGAGAGAGAGAGAGAGAGAGAGAGAGAGAGAGTTTTACGGAGCGGGTTGTCCCAGCACGTGAGACATGTATTTACTTGGCCTAATGTCCTGTCTTGTTGTGCGTTTGCGTGAGTGCACCTTTAAGTCTAACTTTTGTAACGTCTACGGCCATTGTTAACGACCAAGACATATTTCTCCCCGCGAGATATATAAAGATTGTCATTGTCATTATTCTATTATAAGACTCTAACAGACTCCAAATCTCTTTGACATTTACTGCTTCTCATCCTTACTCTATTCTAGAGTTGATCATGAACTCTAAGATCATTAACTCCTCAACAGCTTCATGACGGGCACTATCTGAGGCTATATATATTATTATTCCAGTCACTACTCAGTGGCTGGTCCTCTTGGTCTATTTGTGAAGGAACAGGTACATACTTTTGGGTGCAGGGGCAAAGAGCATTGATGAATCATTAGCATAATATTGTAACACCTAAGTCAGGATACTGAAGTCTTAACCCTATCCATACGTCGTGTTTTACTATCGTATCCATACGACGTTGGGAACTTTGTGCCACCACTTTCCAAAGAGAAAATTTGCTCGTTAATCCGATCCGTACGCTTTGCATAGTAGTCTGTCAAAATGTTTTATTGAGAAATACTGAAAGTTTCTAAGAGATTTTCGCACTAGAAGTATTCTAAAATGGGAAGAATACAACCCTGGGGGTACAAAATGACCCCAGGGCGTACGGATAGGGTTAATGTCCTTTACACTAGAATCCAACCCCCACAAATAACATTATGAAGATCCTCTTAAACGCATACATATAGAGCAAGAGGTATTGCAAAGAGTTTATCAAACCTTTAGTGTAGATGAAAAAGGGAAAAAAATCTAATCAGCACTCCTTAGATTGGAAATAACTTTAAAACTTAAGCAATTAAAAATTTCAATCTTACAAGAAGTAAGTTTTGTTTATAGAAAAAGCAACAAGAATACTGGAACATACAGGACCTTTGGCAAACAAATATCACACAAGCATGACAACCAGGTGTCTGTTGCGTGATACCTAGTAATGTTGCAAACTGATTCTGACCTAAAGGGCACAATACTGCCTAATCTCTGAGTCTCCATGATGCAAGCATTCAGATAGTTCAGTTTAGTCCTGTCCCGGATAGAAGGCGCTCGCTCTCTTCCCACAACGTCTTCAATTTCCTTATATATCTAAAGAAGAAAAACCATAAATAGAAACTTAAAAAGAAAGAAAAGTTCATATTCAATGTCAAATGTCACAATAATAATACATGTAATTATAATACATGCTGAGGCACCTTACTCAAGAAAAACAATGCAGTTGGTTGTCAATTATCTGTAAAGCTCTCACCTCAAGATTTCTAAATAGGAAAACAATGTTTGATAACTAGACACCTTCACCGTCATTTAAATGGGACACGTGGTACAGATGATATTGAAAAGGTAAAGGACATAAAATGGTATTTAATGTTACAAATAGAAAGAGACTACAAAATTTCAAAACTTCCTCTGACAAAAAATATTCCGTAAAAGAACACAGACTGAAATGTTCTACAGCACACTGACAAACGTTTTATGTTTCTAGCGAACAGAGACAAAAAAATCACAACAGCAAACTGACAGGAATTTTCAGCTGCAAACCCAAGGGCATTACCTTTGCCAAGACATCTGGATGGTGAAGCATGAACAAGACAAACCAAACAATGGTGGTGCTGGATGTCTCGGTCCCAGCCGCAAACAGATTGATAATCAGTCGTATCAAGTTCCCATCTGACCAAGAAATAATGTCATAGAAAGTTTAGTTTGTTTGTTCTTTACAGTCATTCACAAATGGTGTATTTTATAATATAGCTAAGAATTCAATTAAATGGGGGTAGCAATAATCAATTTATGAGCTCTTTTTACAAAGCTGTCTTTTGTCTTTCCCTCAAAATAAAGAACTTTTCATCATAGTTGTTTCCACATACAATGTCCCTTTCCATAATTGCCAATAAATAATGATTCTACACCGAAGACATAGACATCACACCATAATCTTAATCAATACCATTTCTTTACCCAGTTGTTATTTAGTGGTTTACTATGTCTCTTCTCGTCCTTTTCATTGTAGGTTTCTTCCAGTAACTATTCTAACGGCCATTATTATCTACTATCAATATCATGCCTCTTTTCCTACTTTGTGAAGTCGAGCCAGAAATCTCACAGCAGGTACTGAGCTGGTCTCTGCTTCAGAACCCAGTTATCAGGAGACAAAAGAGAAGTTCTAGAATGGATTTCAGTGTCCCGAGGAAGTGTGCATGCAGAGTGTACATTTCATCATCCACTAGTCCACACCATTCCAAATACCTTCATCACAACAGTTCTTTCTACCCATTTCAAATTTTACAGCATATCATCAGTTACAGCATAGCATCACTCCTTCTCTGCCTTGTCCACTCTTTCCCTCCCTTAAACACCCCAAACTGTGTTTTATTCAACTTTGTAACATCTTGTTTTGATCTGGCCTTTAGGGCCACTTTGCATGCCGAAATATTTTCAAACAGCTTTATGTGTAGGCTAATGACCAACATTCCCAGTATACATATAATGTTTTTATCAGTATAGTTTTTTTGTTTGTTCTCTAACAAGTGGCTGTGTACATGTGTGTGTGTGTGTGTGTGTGTATGTGTGTGTATGTGTGTGTGTGTGTGTGTATGTGAGGAGAGCACAGGTTCTTTATGTGAGAGACAGAGATTGAGAGAGAGAGAGAGAGAGAGAGAGAGAGAGAGAGAGAGAGAGAGAGAGAGGGGGGGGGGGGGAGAGATGGAGAGAAAGGGTCACTATTTGAACTGTATGGTGCTCGTGTTCTTTCCAAGTTATTAATGCACTATTTTTCAAAGGTGAAAGGTTCCTTCTAACAGTATGAATCTCACACTGTTTCTAAAGTTGTTTAGTCACAATGTTTTCTCAATATCAAGATTTATTTTCCTGCTGCATCGCACATTCATACTTCATATATGCACCAATTCAAAAATGTCCTAAAACTTGTCGTTTCAAAAGGCATTAAAGGAGATTTTAAGAAATTACAAAGAGTCTTATTTGTACGCTCAACTACAAAACACAAATCACATTTCAACTTTTGATCCTGTTTTCTCCAGGTGTCATCAAAGTACTCTAGGCATAATCAAATGCCAAACGGTACATAATTAAGCTATTGAGATCCTTTTCTTTCTTCAGCAGCTGGAGGAAAAGCTCCAATAGCTTCACAATTGTAGAGTGTGAATAGATGGTTGGCTGAAGCATTTTTTTGTATTCCTACATTTATCCTCCTGCCCATATCTTAAATAGAGAAAATATTATTTTCAAAAATTCAATTCCTTTTTATCTTAGAATTATGGTCAATCTACAGCATTTTCTGATATTCAAGAGATGTATTCAAGATGTTTCTATTAAGATGATCACATACCGTCCATGGTCGTAGCAGTGCCACTTGCTTGCCTCTTCCTCATCTCTCGAATGTACTCAGCTATCAGGCTATCAGTGTTGTTGTCATCCAAATTTTTTCTAATTGGCTCCACAAAATTATCCCTATGAGGGAAACCAGAGAATACAAAACATAAAACTTTTTTTTTCCTTTTGGTTTACAATGTTTTTATTATTGTTATGTTTGCGTCAGAAGAATTATAAAAATGATATTGAAGGAATTTGTTAAATATTGCAATTTAAAAAAATAAGAACCCATACTCATTGAGTTTTCAGTTTTATAGTTGGGTTTTATAAAGTCACAGGGGAAGAAGCAATGGTATCGTTGCAATTATTATAATTAGCACTATGAACTGTTGGTACTTAAAAAGCATTTCAGAAGCTTATAATATTCTAAGTTGAGGTAAGACAATTTAGGATTAACGTAGAATAAATAAATATACAGCTTAGAAACAAGGCTATTTCTTTTCTAAACTCATATTAATAATGAAACACAGCATGCCCCCACCATCAAGGTACAAAATGACATTTCATAGAATTATATTTTACCTGCCCTTCAGTCAGAGTAATCCTATGGCCCCAGGAGACTGAGAGAGAGAGAGAGAGATCTACCCCCCCCCCCCCCCCCCGATACTACTACTGAGACTGTCCGTTCTTACATATTCTTAAATAAACCCCCCTGAGATATAAATGTGTGGATTCGCGGATTCTTTTCGCAAAACCCATGATGACGTTGCCGATGACATTAGACACACCGCTGTCGGCACAGGCTTTTATATTGCCTGGTTCACCCTCTGGCTCGCTCTCCTCAAAAAAAAGGGACCCCCCCTTAAATATGCTTTAATTTCGGTAAAGAATTTCTCAATCTTTCCTCCCATAAATGGATCACCATTCAGTTATCCCACGACCCCTCAGTACACACACCCATATGCAAGCATGAACACACAAACATAAACACAATTACACAAAGATGCACAAATTAACACCCATTCACATACATATATGAAGCAGCGTGGTGAAATCGGGCGCTCGTCAAAATAATGAAAGTCAAGAAACTGGCATTTTTCCGCAGGTTAGGGAATTTATTTCGAACTTTTTTGTTTGGGCTCAGCACCCTTCATGCCCATTAAAGAACACATTTCTGTGTGGAATTTTACTGAAAAACGTTATTTAAAGGCTTAAAATATGTAAATTTTTAGTTTCTACAGACTCTCAAGCAAAAAAGTAACTCAAATTTGGGAGCCATTTTCTCGCAAATTTACCTCTGAAACCAAGTAACCCCCTCTTTATTCAGTCTCAAATACCTCAACTCTAGAGAAAAACAAGAGAACAAACTTTACTTTAAGATAATAACTCCACATGCCCAAATATTGACGAGCACCAGATTCCACCGCGCCGTGACACATGTACTCCCATGGCTTCTTTCACACACAGAGGGGCATTCACACATGACTAACTCATCAATAAAAGCATACTCACTTGAGATATTCTTTAATTTCTGTAAAATACTCCTTGATTGTTCTTCCCTTGAACAGGTCACCAGGCACAAAACGAAGCCACGGATAAACGTTAAGAATGAAAGATCGACCTGATAATACAGTCTGTCCAAAAAACAAAAAACAGCGTTTCACACAAGCTATGAAGGTCTCAATGATAAAGTGCATCATCCTTCATCTCTAAAGAGAAATTTTTTCATGGTTAAAAAGGATATCACCCTCTTGAAATGGGTTCCAACCATGACTGTTTATTAAATGAAAAGTGAAGACAAAGATTTTACTGACTTCCAAGACAAACCCCACAGCAGAGATCTCAAATCCATGGAGGAGGATATTTTGCGCTCCCTATGTGATGTCAAAATGTAATGTTTGTTCGGCCTGCACATCTTTTTTACTTACACCTTTTTAAAATTTTTAGTAGCACACATCTGTGAGAAAAGTTATTTCTAATGTGAACTTTAAACAGTCAAAATACAGATCCAAACTTGCTGATAAGCATCTTCAAGTCATCACTCACTTCCTGCGTACTTCTTCAAGCCAAATTTGAATAAGCTGTGCAAGGGGAAGCACACTGTCAGGTCTCTGGCAGCAAGGAAAGTGTTAGACAGGCCTTTGTTCTGAAGAGCCGTTTATGTTCTGAACTTCTATTAATATAAATTGAGAAGATTACTTTTTGTTTAAATAATTGAAACCCTTTTTTTTAAAGGAATTATTTGATGCAGCCCAAGTACACTCAGACTCTACATCCAGAGGCCCCGAGGAAATTTGAGTTTGAGACTCTTGCCATAAAATAGGATTGAGGCGGCACATAAAACATATCGAAACGTTGAACAATTGTGAAGTCTTGCCTCTTTCTGTCAACTTGATAATACCCCCAAAAGTTTAAAATCGATCTGTCCACCAGCAAAAGATATTCTAAAAAATGCAAAGGTTTTTCTTTGGGCCTACTCTATTCTCACCCCGGGTGAGAATAGCGCAGGCGAGCCTTTTGGCTATTCTACCTGAATGAGATAGCCTTTTGGCTATTCTCACCTGGTGTGAGTTCATCGTGATAGCCTACGCCAACCAGAGTAGCGTTCACCGTGAATTCTGTGCCGTAAACAAACGCTCCAGCGCGCTTGTGTTGAAAGCGTGCAATTTTGTTTGTGGCCAGCGAGAGAGAGAGGGGGGGGGGGGAGAAGTGCGAGAAATTCTGGGCAAAACAAAATGGCGACCCGCGTAGTTTGGCTCGATTCGAAAAGTTAAAAGTTAGGCGTAGCGTCTTTGTAGACCAAATTAATTTAATTTTGTGTTTGAACATTATTTTATCTTTGTTTTTGTTTTATCTTTGTTTTTGTCAATTTGATTGTCCACACCGATAGAGGGTATTCAGAAAGACAGAGAGAGAAAGAGAGACAGAGAGAGGAGGAGGAGTAGATCTTGCGAGAACTTGCGGGCAAAAACAAAATGGCGACCCTCGTAGTTCAGCTCGATTCAAAAAGTGAAATAGCCATAGCATCTTTGTAGACGATCAAATTAGCTTACTTTTGTGCTATCGACATTTTTTCTTTGCTTTTGTCAATTTGATCATCCACACCGACAGATAGTATTCCGAAATTAGGAAAAACAGGTCTTGTTTCAAACCGGGTGAGAATAGCCAACGCGGGCAAGTCTCACTCGGGGTGTGAGGTCGATTGTATTTTTATTTTCACGCCGGGTGAGGATAGCCACTTCCTTAATTTTTATTATTATCTAACAATATAGGCCTAGACAACAATGCTCGACTCTATAGGCCTATTGATTACTGAACAGGTGGAAACACCGCCCGTATACTACGATCCAAGATGGTGGCCTGGTAACAGACGAAAAAGTGCCTTATACGTTTTCAAAAACTCTTGTTTCATGTCAAACTGATCTAAAGCATTACCCAGACGTAGAATTCAATTATCTTTGACTTGCGGGTCAAACTAAAGGCTTGTTAGCTCGTACTTTTTTATATTATGGCCGGCTGTTTCTCAAAACGGTCAGGAAAATAAACTTAAACTCTATTTCTCCGAACGATTTCCGTTCTCAAGATTTGTTTGTTATTTGCGAATGGAGTATGCTTTGTAGAAAAAGCTCTAATCAAAGCCCTAAAATCTTTTTCCAAGTTTTTGTCCTCAGGTGTTGCCTTCTGCACCCCGAGAGTATCTTATAAAAAAAAAAATCAACAATTCTTCACCCCCCCCGAGTCCTATACTTCCTATTGCTTAGACTTTGAATGAACTTTGGCAACCCCAACAACTCAACTGCCGGTACTCACACCATGTCGTAGCATGCGACGCGAAAATGCCCAGGTTCACTGACTGGTCTCGATGACGAGCCCGCCAAGCTGAAAATCGGAAGGGGCTTCTGTAGGTGCCTGGAAAGACAGTGCCGATAGGGCCTGATTGGGTTTTCTTACCTACCGGGATATCGATAGGCTATTGACTTAAATATTCGGTATCAATGTTTTATCCGAAAGAGAGGGAGAGATGTGCTGATTAAAATTTTTCACTACGAATGATTACTTTTAAGCATAAGGGGACTATCCCCAAAAATGCTGTTTTCTGAGAAAATGGAAGGTAAAGTTTTTGCCCCTTGTTCAGTTTCTTTTAAAAAGACAAGGGTAAAGTTTTCTCTACAATGACTTCCAAACGAATGACACACCAATGAAGCCAGGCTTCTCCTGCAGGTAGGGCAATGCCCACTTTTGGTGTGGGTCAAGATTTCTGGAAACCTTCGAAATCTGGATTGGTCCGTTTGTCCTTAAAAGCAACCAAATATAGCATCTAGATCGAGATTCTATATGAAAATGAGCAGTAGCCTAATATTTCACTTGTCTTAAAGGGGATTTCGGGGG